GGATCGAACCCACGAGGGAGTTAACATCTCGCCACCGCGGCGCCCCAGACTCGAGGTAATTAAATTAACTAAATGACCTCGAGTCTGTGCAGTCTTCACAAATGATCTCTACACCTGTGCAATGAGCATGTAGGGCGAGGATCAACACGCGCGTGTCTCTTTGGCACTCCCTGTGACAGCAGTCGCATTGGGACGTGACTCAAGAGATAACTTAAACCGTCACCTTGCCACAGCGTCATGTATTCTACTCTTTAGCTGCGTGGATTATAACTTTTTCTCTCTCTCTCGCTCTGTGCTTATCTGATGATCCGTGGCGTACAAAAAAATCCTCAAATTACGCAGCAACACTCACATTTCCGCAGCTTGGTTGAACCGTTAATACTTGGTGTGAAATGCGATGTCTTACGTGTAAACTGAAACGGTGAACGCACTACACGTGCACACAGGCGCAGCCTTTTAGGCTTGGCCGATAGAGTGGGTGCCCGGGACAAGAAGCCGCACGGAGCACCAACAATCTATGAGGGATGTCAAAAATGTGCGGATGAGAGGAAGAGAGAGAGAGAGAGACGCAGAGTAACACAGATATGTGTGTATATATATATCGACAAAGGGAGATAAGAGACACATACACAGACTAGTAGACTAAAGCTTGCTCAGCATGCACAAGAAGAGTGATACACAAAGCAGAAGTATGGGGTCTGGGGGAAGTGTGGAGGGCAATAAGTGCTGTCACTCATGGACTGTGATTAGTTACTCTGGATAGATTGTGATCTTGGCTTTTAAAAAAAGAGAGCCAAATTGCAATGTACCTCACCTGGCCATCAATCATCAGTGTTCTAGGCTGATGCACGATTTAGACGGCTGAGCTTAAACCTGCCCACAGACTGTGGTTTAAGGAACAGGGACAGTGCCAGCAGATAAATATAACTTCATACAGCATCCAAAATACTACACACATTATTAATAATACTAAATCAGTGTGCATACGAAACGAAGAGAGACACGTATGCCCTCATAACCTCGTCACTATCATCGGCCACGATCAATCAACTGCCGCCGTCGTGATAAGCCGCCTCGCACGGCCACATCGGCTGATTCCATTGCTCCATCTCCGTGGTGGACGTCACCCTCTCGGCGACCTACCCACCCTTGACCTGCCACTCAGGGTCAGTGTTCTCGATCATCGTCCGTTCGAGTGACGTGTCCTGCCCAAGCCCACTTAATTTCCTCAACAGTTTGAGTGATTCCTTTCACCAAGCACGCATCTCTCCATACAGCTTCGTGCACTTCTCAGTTGTTGTACCTTTGCAGCCGTGCAGCTGCAAAGGCGCAACACATTCTCCAGGCAATATGCACTGCTCGGGATGCTGCCGTGGTTTTATTGGTCAGCACGCTGGACTTGCAATCCAGAGGTCGCGCGTTTGATCTCCTAGCACGGCAGTTGAGCAATGGACCATTTTTCTTAAATCTCCCCAAGCTTCAAATCAAGTTTGAACCACCTCCACGGGGAGGATTTCCACACAACTCACTCTTAACTTAAAATGTAGCAATCTTTGGAAGAACGTAATCAATCAGGTAAAGTGTTAACTGTTGTGTTAACCGATTCTCTGTGTTGCATTGCATTACATTTCTAAGTATACTATGTTTGTTTTCTCAAACTTACTATTTCTCTCTCTAATTTTTTTTTACCAGATTTGTCAAGTTCCAATTTCTCTCCTCTGGCCGCTCTCATTGACATGCTAATTTATCTGCCCCCCCCCCCTCCTCTATATAATGCCCCATCACAGAGTCGTTGTTTCTCTGTGTGCCTATGTGTGTGTCTCTCTCTGTGTGTCTCTCTCTGTGTCTCTGTGTGTGTCTCTCTCTCTGCTTGTGTGTCTGTCTGTGTGTCTCTGTGTGTGTCTCTCTCTGTGTGTCTCTGTGTGTCTCTCTCTGTGTGTCTCTGTGTTGTCTCTCTCTGTGTCTCTGTGTGTGTCTCTCTCTCTGTGTGTCTCTGTGTGTCTCTCTCTGCTTGTGTGTCTGTCTGTGTGTCTCCGTGTCTATGTTTTGTCTCTCTCTCAAATCTAGCAATCTTTGGAAGAACGTAATCAACCAGGTGGGCTGTTGACTCTTGTGTTGGCCGACTCTCTGTGTTGTATTGCATTATATTTTCAAGTTTACTATGTTTGTTTTCTCATTCATTTGTACCTGATGATGGTTGCTTGTGTTGCAATCGAAACTTCGTATTGCATTATTATTTAGTTACATTTATTTCGACGTGACTTTACCGAAAGAACCAAATAGACACTCCAGAAGCTCCTACGGCAGCCCCACCCTGGCCCGAGCGAGTCGTGTGCGCATGCACGCAGCGGTGGGATATGACGATGACCGCGGTCCGCACCTGTCGTGGGAACTTTAAAAAGAAAAGAAAACAACAGCCCCCTAGGTCAGAGCCGCTCTCTGAGATTCCATTAAGATCGAATGGCCAGATCGAATCAGCTGTAAAGCTATTTAACCTTCCCATGCGCCAGGCGTGGCCAGCAGAGGTAATTGTAGAGAGGGGACTGGGTGCACTGGTGTGCTCACAACATGTGCGACTGACCACAGCTGTCACGAGGAATTAAAAAAAAAACGTTTGCAAATCACTCTGGTGCGTCTAAATAGAGCTCTGCTTTGCGCCTGCGTTGGGCATCGTTTTTTTTATTTCATATAAAACAAGCTCCCAAACTGTTCCTGTGCACGCTGGATCCGCGTAGAATTAGCCTCTGTTTAAAACAACGAGTGGAAAGGTTTTAGACCACCCGAGCAAGGATTTTTCTAGAACGGCAGTTACGGCACCGCGCGATTAAACTGCGGTTTGTGGGGAATTAATGCTACAATAACTATTGGCATTCCCACCATCCCAACCTGTAAGGCAATGCTCATTTGTGGTCAATGCAATCATAGCGATTGCATCAGCACTACCTGGGAGCAGTCTTTGTGCTCTCGTGTTTGGTTTTTCATGGAGTGACCAGGTTTCCATTGTGAGTGGAGTTCATCTACACACACTATGTGCCGCCATGAAGATCCCCGACCCTATAGAAGCGTTTACGCCAATTTCTAACAAAAAGCAACAATCCCCAAAGTGATATATATTTTTAAAATAAAATATAAATGGGATGACATGATGCCATCAATATGGCATGTGTATTAAATCAGAACAATATCAGCACTGAGATAAACTGAACATGTTCGAGTGAGCGGTCGGCTGCTTTGCTGAATGCTTTTAATCTGGCAGCTGGATCGCGCTCTCTGAAAGCTAACTTCAACAAGTACTCTTCATTACAACACATGTAAGCACCATTTCCCAACAAAGTGATACTGACTTGATAATGGACTGACAAGAAGTCCGATCGATCACACGCCCCCCACCCCCCAGAACAGTCGACCTCAACTCAATTTCTCATAACCAGAACGGGAAAGGAATGAAGTTGCCGCGGAAATTTCAACCGTCGTGTCGAGGGGAAGGAGGTTACGGTCAAGGACTCGCTGGCAGAAGCACTGCTCTGAGAATCCACGCCTAATTCCACGCACGTACTTGTCAGCAAAAGGGCTGCTGTGATGTGTGTGACATCCACTTTTTATGCTTGAATCTTGCACTTTTTTGTTTGATTCCTTAATCGGCTAAAACTTTTAAAAGGTACATTTAATATTTAAAATTACATGATTTATTACGTTTTATTTATGTATTAATTTGTGTTATTCATTAATTTTTTATCTGATGTGTTATGTCTGTCACAATAACCGTGTGTTGTTGTTATTGATGAAACCCGACTTAAGAGCTTTTTAACTCACAGGGTACTTCAAAATAAACTCAACTAAAGTCAAGCCACTGATTGTCTAACTAGTATTGCCGTCACGAAAGCAGTGTTTATAATTTACATTTGAAAGGATTCATGTTAAACCACAAACACTGAAGCAAATTAAACAGCTGGCAAGTCGAGCGGCATACCAAAAACAACATTCCACCATGATGATACTTCCAGTTTCAAAGTTCAGTTGGGCCGCTGCGTGGGTGGATTGGCTGTATGTATATTGTTCAAATGGCCATCGAGTTAATGGTCAGATTTCCAGTGGGCCTGGGTTATCCATTACTTCACGTAACATCCCCATGTAATGCCGCCGCCTGTCAGGGTGCCCCAATGATCGGAGTAAAACTATCGTGAGTCACACCGACGAGGTGGCTCAGCGGTAGATTGAGCGGCTTGGAAACGTTGCGGGTTTAACTCAGCCCATCATTCCTCTTGAGGTCGATACAAATAAAGTACCGCTTTCTGGGGAAGTCAGTGCTGGTTGTCGTATGGAGAGTCCCGCTTCTGTAAAAGGTATGTGGAAATGTAACCACGAGCTCAGGGCTATACATGTGCGATGAGCACTGCCTCAATGCTTATTGAGCATGGTTGGCTATGTGCGGTGCGAAAGAAGTTCAACATACATGTGTAGAGACAGTGCGGGTACAGGAACAGTTTGTGGCCCAATGGTCAGGAGGGGTAATTATTGAATGGGAACCATCTGGGAAGTTCGGGAACGGGTTAGAGAGTTCGGGCGCGGAGTGAGGGCTACACCGGGAATAAAAGGAGGCGAGAGGCAAGGTTCGGGGCTGCCACGGGATCGGGGTCGACTGTCTTCATGCCGTCGCCGTCTTTGGGCCGTCGCTGTCTTCACATCGTCACTATCTTCGTGTCGTCGCTACTTGCGTACTATCCCTGGCCCAAGTTATCTGTGCGAGATCCTGGCCCAAGTTATCTGCGTGAAGCGCCCTAAATAATACATAAATAAACATCTACAGTTCAAGTTGTCCGAGAGTCACGACACATGCATGCGTACATTTCGGCAATAAATCATTGTGACTCCTTGGCCTTTTGGCCTATGCTGGCTCAACCACGGGATAAGCTCACGCAATAAACATCGAATGCCCACGATATTGCCCTGGATTGCGATCCAGTTCGTGCATAATGTGGGCTTGGCCAGAAGGTACTCACAGAGAATGGAGCCCCGTGGTGTCTCGCAGGGCCTCTCTGGGCACCTCCCTCAGCTGGTTGTTCTGCAGCATTCTGGGGAATGAGAGAGAGAAGAAGATGCTGTTAAGGCTGATTTAACAAGGGAGAAAAATCATGAATACGCACGGATTCTCATCATGCTTTCCAATCGGCCATCGAACGTCTTAAATTAGCGATGACAATGGCCGCTCTCGTGCCGGGCGTGCAGGAAGTGGCACACCTATAGGCCGTGATGAGACAATAGGGCTCAGCGGGGTTTTTCCCACGAAAGGCGCAAGAAATCCCTTGATCAATGTGGCCAGTTTTTGTTGCAAGGGCGGGTCCCTAATAGCAATGCAACCTAATAATAAAGCGTTGCTCGCATTGGATCATCTTCAGAAGAGTTTGTCATGTCCCCTTCGTTGCAGATGAATGTTGAGGCTGTCACGTTGTGTTCATGGCCAGTTATTAAGGACTTTACCATAAAGATACTGGGTGTCTGTCATCTGGACGGTAATCACGAGTACAAGTGCCACTTTGTGGGGAAGGCAACAGTGTTAATCCTATATACTCACCACTGTCATAGGAACTTACTTGACAGTTTTCAAATACGTATTTCTCATAACCACTATGGCAATGCCCATATACCATTGGCTGGGTGGTAATGCTATGTCCGTAGGTGGATTGCTGTGCTTTCTCACGGCTGTCTCTATATACTCTACAATATAGGTTTATGGCTTAAAGCTTTCGTGACTGCAGGGATTCATCTTCTTGGTCTTATCGACAGACCTGTTCTTCACCTGAGGACGGCTGCTTGCGTTGTGGCCGAAACGTCGTGAGAATTATTTTATTATGTTTTATTTTTATTATTTTATTATTTCCATTCTACGTGACTTTACCGAGAGAACCAAGAAGATAGGTTTATGGGTTAGATCGCGTACATATAAATGTGTCGTTAAACTTGCCACCAAACGACACAGCCAATTAATAAGGTTTGTCACACAACAGAACATGCCAATTCGTTACTAGTACATCACACTGGTGTGTTGGAGAGCAAATCCACAATATTTACAATCTGAGTACAACGTTTCACTAGTAATTACAACTAGCTTCATCAGGTGACAGGCAGATTTGTGGAGAAACCCTCCTGTTTCGTTCCTTAAAAAGAGGGATAGATGTGTGACGTCACTTGTGAGCTCTTCACGTGAAGGAGGGGATTAATTAATGCATATAAATGACAATGGATATTCATTGCCGGTTGGGTTATTCATTTGGTAATCAAGGCACATTAAGTATGCACATTGTTTTTTTAACTCCTGTCGTTTCCGTGAAATAAAATAGCAGTACCTGTTACTGTCTGCGTACACGTAATCCCCATTGATGTATGGTGACATGTACAGGCATGCATTTAAACAATGTATTATTTGATGATTCGCTTCCAAGCAGCACTAAGCCTGTAGCTATCCGAACGGCTAAAATGTTTTTTCTCTCTCTCAATTTATATAGATTATCTAATTAGTCTTGGCTAGTAGTACCTAGTTTTGCACAACGTTATCAAAGTAAATTGAGTGTCCGTGTTGGCACACGTGTTCTGGCACTGCCGACAGTTGTATTTGGAAGTATTTAATATTTATTTGGTGTTTTTTTAGTCTCGTGCTGATCATTCGTCCTGTCTGCCCAACAAAGCACTTTCCACAAGTGCAATTAATCCCGTGCACACGCTACGTACGGTGCGAAATATGTTCAACATACATGCATACACGTTTCTAAAAATGCTAAATGGTTATTTTAAAACGCCATAGATTTCAAGTTTGTTTGAAAATTCTGTCAAAACCATGACTTCCATTGTAATACAATCTAACTGTTTGAAATAGGCCCATTTCAGCCAGGCAAAGGATAATTCAATGCTGTAACTTAATTGAGAGATAACGCACGTGCAGAATACTGTGCAGAAACGCAGTGGTCAGGTTGCTTACCTATCTGCACACATTTGTTTTGCGCCATTCCCATCTCACGTGTGCCATCACTTCAAGTTATCTGGCTTCTTCTGACAAGAGTAAAATGTAAATTTTCTTTGGCTTTGGTAGCAGTTCGTTGGTGCGTGCCGGTAGACTCTGCACTTTGCACACGGCACGTATGGCACACAAATGTGCTACCCATGAAGGCCTTCGGTGGAAAAACAGCAAACTCTTAACACTGAACTACATAGAGGAAAGCCAAGGTTGTGGAATAATTAACCTGTACCAATGCTGGTCAGCTGAATATTTTATGTTTGTTGCTTATTATGTGAAGTTTTTTTAATATATATACAATTAATATCTTGGCTGCTTAGGCAATCACCGACTTGGTAAAGATCACAATTTGTTTGCGGTCAGTTCACTTGTTCAGTTTATAAATCCTCAAAGACAACTGGGAGTTTGAGTGTGCAGCCGAGACGTTTACTCAGAGATGAATGGAAAAGTCCAGCAATCGAAATTACGAGCCTGAGCACACGAATGGTGGCAAATGTTAGACCGGGAAAATAAACGGTGGACAGCAAGAGCTGAAAGGCCACCAAGAGATGACGCAATACTGTGCGCCCAGCTGCCATAGCAACCCTTTACAGGGTTTGATACATCGAGGATATGGTACCGCAATATGTTACTCCTGAAATGTATGTGAGGAATGTTTAACTTCTTTCGCACCGTGCGTAGCCAACCGCTCTAACCGGAGCTGCGGAGCAAAGGCCAACAAACTAAACACAAAAGGCAGTTCTATAGGAATGAGTTTTCAATCTAGATGATGATTTAAAAGTGCATAGCTCCAGTGGATTCCTTTTACTGGAAGGAAGAGCGTTCCAGACGGCCGGCAGAGGCGAATCCGAAAGCGTGCGACACAGCGACCGCATTTGTTCGATGGCCAGCCAAAATATGAAATGAGTGCAATGTACCCTCCCCATGTGCATGCGGTGATCTGCTGCGGTGTAACCCGCTTCTCGCTCAGGCCCGAGGAGTCGCAGTGCTCGCGGAGGGCAAAGCTACAACAGCCACGACGTCACCGAGTTTCTGACTTTAGTGGACTTCACTGGCAACCCGGCAAATGATGCACGGGGGTTCGTTACCTCGCAGAACGTGACGAACGTACGTACGGCCAGGGCTTCTGTCGTGGCCCTTCCAACCGAACAAGAATCGAGTATTATAAATGTCATAATTGTCGTAAACATTGTACTGACCATAAAAAAACCACACATGGCAGTGTAGAATGCGTATACAGTAATGTGCATTACGTAATTGGCTCAATTATAATAATAAACAAATCATGGTTTCACGTTGCTTTGCTTAGGGCACATTCATTTGTTATTTGCAACTAATGTCTCGTATTTTATATACCATGAATTGGAACTGTGAAAGATTTATACGAATTTTATTTCATTTTCCAGAGCTGTCAGATTCCTTTGCTGATGTGCACTATATATAAAGATTATGCATAACGTTTGCATTAAATATAGCATATAAATACAGAATGTTAACAATGTATGTAGATTGCAAGTGATATATGATCCCAACATGAATATAAATTACTCCTTGATTTTTTAATTACTGTAGCCATGTCAAGGGAACATTTTAATCTATTTTAAACATTTTACATCTCAGTTGCTCCAATTATTCCCCCCAAAGAATGGGTGTAAAAACACCAGACATCACAAACTGGCCCTACAGATAACCACGAATAAATAAATATATACAGTATTTCTCACCAACACATACCGTAGTGTGCATGTTATACACATCTTTGTTGAAGAAGGGTTCAATGAACAGAAGATGTAGGAATAGATGATGATGAAAGGTAGACATGTAGCAAACATACTTTCCCGTCTGTCATAATCTGCGTGTATATGTGAACATCTCGGACGTATTGCCATTGTTGCTGTGGTTGTATCAGACTGCCAGGAGCAGGAATGTTGTAGGTACAACTGTGCCTGGTGTTCACCAATGTGGTGTATCCTACTAAAGTACGTATTGGTCGTGAGCAGGTCGCTAGGTCCATAGCGCAGTGCGTTAACCACTGCAAAAGACAAAGACCCCCCTCCCCCTGTATAGCCTCAACAGACTGTTGGGGCAAGTGCAGTTAGCGAGCACCTGGGTGGTCAACAGCACGCCCAGCCGCCTTTGTCTCCCGAGTGGCGACATTTAGACACCGCACCCGGTACCCATTTTAGGCTGAGTCGACCTGGGAAGGCCCAGGACCGGTTCAAATAATCGTCACTGCCGTTTTCTTTGAGCGGGTATTGAACCCGAGTAGCCAGGTTTGTAGCGCAGTGCGCTAACCACTTGAATCATCGCAACACACACACCAAACAATCTACAGACTTTACTACAAATAAAAAATGTTCGAATAATTTGACTTTGACCTGTTTGATGTTTAATTTCTCACACATCCATAATTTTATTTATGTATGGAATAATTTTTCTGCAAAGTCAACTTTTAATGTAGAAACGGTGGAAATGAATAGTCAAGTGTCCACATATTTAAACCTTTAACATCGCGTGATCTGGTGGGCTTTTCGTAAGAAAGCGAGCTCATTGTTCATTCCCTTTTCTCCATCTTGTATTCTTTCTCATCTCTCTCTTTCTCTCTTGCTGTACCCATGGGATGCTCGCCCCACGGACGGAGTACTTTCTCACCAATAAGTGACGCTCTCATTAAAAGCGTGATGCATAACAGAGGAGGCTGAAGCTTCCCAGCCACAACTTGGGATCAACTCGAGCAGCCCCAGCTCAGGCAGGGTATTGCCCCCGCCCCCCCCGCGAGGAGGGTGAACACCCCAATGGGTTTTCTGAGCCACGTAGTTAGGGTTTGCGATGTCACCAGGGAAGCCACGGACACCCCTCGAGGCATCTATCTGTACAATGCGCACTTGTTTGTCCGTCACGCTCTGCATCTAGCAAACGGTACGTTGTAGGAAAAACATTGATTAAGCAAAAACGTTTCTCTTGGCGAAGACATTCCTGAAAGATTGGCGCCTTTCCCAATTTTGTCCCTGAAAATTCGAACGAAAACAAATAACGTCCAATACAAAGTGATGGAAGCCAACATATTCCTAAAGAGTGACTCGCATTTTATCAGTACAATCGTCCGGAAGTTGGCTTCCCCATTGACTTGCATTCATACTGCTTCTGTATGACGTTGTCGTCCCGCGGTGATGTCACACGGACAGGACTGAATGACATCGTTAGGACGTCATTGCACTGATTGCAGTGCGCACGTGGCCAAGGAGGGCGTGATGAAATTATATACCACGCAAATGCAAGGTGGCTATGATACTGTGAGACCCACCTTGGCGCACTCGCCGGGAAGGATGCTCGGCGATCTTGCATTGACATGCTAATTTTTGCCTGGCAGCCCTTTGGTGGAAAGCCCACCACTGCCATGGTCGCTGCCCACTACTTGCATTGGCATTGGCTGCTGACATTTGGGCTATGCCCATTTTAAACCTTTATAAGAAGTTGTCTTTAGAAGCTAACCCCCCTTTTTCTGATGACCACTGCCTGTGTTGCGATCGAAACGTCCTAGTTTTTTTTGTTATTTTCTTTGAACCTATCTACGTGAATTTACCGAAAGACCCAAAGAATAACTGACTAATACTTCTCAATATTTACTGGAAGGCCATGAAGATGCACACGCAGTTGTATTTTTCTATTTTTGGCAGCATTTGTTTTCATCGGGCCCTTGTTATGGACAGCACACACACACGTGGCGCGCAGTCAATTTACATACATCAGTTTTTAAGCAAAGTCACAACAGTCACGCAAGTTATTTAAGGATGTTTACACATGACACCACGAGGTGCAATGCAAGGGGTGTGATCCTTCCCTCATGCAATCATCGCCATCGCTCACGGGGATCAATTTGAAGATGGGCAAAACAATATTTAGCGCGAGTCGATTGGTGATATTTTAACCGCGTGGTGTGAAGTTGTCTTCGCGATGTGCTACATGTTTGGGTGTTGTTGCAAATGCACGGGCTACAGTGTTAATTGTGTGATCGCCATTGATTACAGAGAAAACTGTATTCCATTATCCAGACTGCATAACTTTAGGCGGAAATTTTAAAGCATTTGCTCTATCTTATGAAGATAGTATGGATATGACTGTGGAACCATTTAAAAAGTAGGTCACTGTGTTATGGTGTCACTATCGCAAATCCCAAAATGTCATAATGAATCATAATTTTACAATAATAACACAATGTAAATGATTACTGTTCATAAGGAGATAGAAAATATCACAATCATATCACTTTGTTAAGCAAAGAACACTGACACGAGTACGTATTTATGTATGTTGAACTTCTTTCGCACCATACGTAGCCAACCCTGCTAATTGGAGCCAAACGTGCTAATTATATAGTTATACACCGTGGGTCGTTAATTTGATAGCACAATAATACTTCTAGCTAGTGGTAGTAGCTAGTTTCAATTGCTATACTGTTCTTCAATATACATTTTTCATAGAAACAAATTTCTGAGAGAAACACTGTGTGTGACTGTGTGTATGCCACTATATGAGGACTTGTTGCTTTCAAACGTTTTAATCAATTAAAAGTGTTGCCATTTTACCATGTAAAGCTGTTATCCAGTAACAATATGTATTCATTCGTAGTACAATTCCACATGAGAAATCTGATAAACGAAAGAGTCTGGTTAAAGCCTATGGGTATGTGACATATGCTATGGGATTGCTTCATAATTACTGGGTGAAATGGTGGCCTTCGTGGCTCGAACCTGTTTGTTTAAGTAATTTAAGGGCTCACTGTAACATTCACTCTTTCCACTGCACCCTTGAGAACACGAGCCCTCGAACATTGCTTTTCAATTATTCTGCCATGATTTTCCAGCGGCCATTTCATCGCACGCGGCGATTAAATTCAAATAAATATTGCCATTGGCCACGGTGAAATGCAGGATAGAAAGAAAAAAAATCTGCTGGTATCGGGAGAACTTAATTAACAGAAATAATAAATATTCCTTTTCAGGAAAATATTAAAATGAAATGTGCCAGCCATAATTGGGGCAATATATAACGCTAATACGTATTTGCATGTGTTTAAAAAAAAGTTTATTTTATAGCAAAATGTAGCAATGGATTTTTATTTTCTTTTTAATCAAGTTGCATTCCGTTTAAGAGCACATTATGTGGAAACAATTGTATTCTGCCTCAGCCGGTAAAAACTATCAATTAGTTGGTGATTACACCAGTGGTATTTACATATTTTAGCAATCGTGCAGTGTTATAGAGCTCTTTTTTTCTTTGAAATACAAACAAATCTATATCAATACGTGTTTATTTTACAACGTCACATCACCACTCCTCCACCAATGCGGTTGTCGTCACCGTTCTCTGTATCCCAACCTGCTTGCCTGTCTCTTGACCAAGTTTAATCCTGTTTGGGGGTTGACCCAGCCCATCATACCACTAGGGTTGAGAAAATAAGTACCACTTTTTCAATAGTGGTTGTCCTATGGATAGACGTACCCCTGCCATATGATTTAAGAATTCCCACCACTGCCTCAGGGCTGTAAACAGGAGATGCACACTGCCTCGATGCTCATTGCAGCAAGAAATCACTTTGACACTCAAAAGCCACGTAAGTTCTACTCAGTCAAGCCCTGAAATCCATTGCCAGCAGTTAATATTCTGATTTAGGCAGATAAAATTTAGTCTCATGCAGAGTACACTCATTAAATAAATGAGCAGGCAATTGAAACTGCAGCTGTTCAAGTCTCCTGTTCAATGTCAAAGCATTTATTCGTTAATGGTTTAACAGCCCACATGTTGCTGATGAGACTCAGTGTAGTTGAGGCCATTTCAAGAAATCACTTGCTTGTGCAAATGCTCATTAAACATATTGCCTGATTAGCAATCATTAAATTAATGCACCAGATTCAGCCAACAGCTTAAAATGTACAGATATAAGTGCACGTGACAATGCATACATATCTACACGGGTTTAAATGCATAATCAGCTGTGCAGTGTGTGCACAAAGCAGCATGGGTACGTATACTCACAGCACTCTTAAGCTGCCCAGTCCTGCAAAGGAGCTCTTGGGTACATGGGCCAAGTCATTGCCAGCCAATCGCCTGCGACGAGAAAATACACACATGCGATCAAGTTACCGAGTGAGCGGCAGCATGTCTTGGCGAACACTCAATATATACACGGTGCCCCATATCCAGTTACGTTTGGGTGTATTGGATGTGTCTGTCATTCACCATCAACAGAAAATTATATAAAGTGCGGTTTGTCCAATCGCTTCTTTTTATTCAAAGATGGCAATTAAAAGAGCAAAGACAGTGCAAATGTCTCGAGTGTCGTGTTAACACCCCCCCCCCCCCCCATTAAATACAGGAATTCTGTAATTGGAAAGCGGTACAAGTGAGCTTGGACAACGTGTACATTGAAAGCACTCTCACGAACAACACTCCACACATAATGTTAAGGTCTGACTGTAGGTTTAACAAACATTTACATTTACAATCTGAGTAAATGTTAATATTTACAATCTGAGTACTCAGAGTACTCAGATTGTAAATGAATCGCTATCAGAAGGTTGTAAATGCTATCAGAAGGTTGTAAATGTACTCAGATTAAATTTCGATTTAAAGCCATTCAGACGCTATCTCCCCGACAGACCTGGTCTTCACCTGAGGACGGCTGCTTGCGTTGTGGCCGAAACGTCGTGAGAATTATTTTATTATGTTTTATTTTTTATTATTTTATTATTTCCCTTCTACGTGACTTTACCGAAAGAACCAAGAAGATGCACTCAGATTGTCCATGTTGTCGATTTGCTCTCCAACACACAGGTGTGCTGTACTAGTAACAAATTGGCATGTTCTGTTTACATGACAAACCTTACTAACATGTAATATGGATACATAATTAATAATGATATGAAGTATTCATTAACTGACGTGAAAAAAACCCTCAATTTTTAAACATTTTTCTTTTCTTTATGGTTAATCCAAAACCATGCCCATATCTTATGGTTCCTGCCCCATTTCAACAAGGTATAATATAGAGCCTTGGTATTTCTTATCATAAATGTTGTCGCAAATTTATTTTTTGTTTGTTACCACCCGTGTTTCTTTTGCAAACAATATCCATTCCTCTAACAAATGGCAACGCATGCTCAGCAGTGGGGCTGCAATCATTTATACAATTGATCATTTCAGCCAGTGACCCTCTTTGATTTTCACAAAAGGGGTTATTCTAATTATCAATTCTTAAAAAATAATATATGTATCACGATTTATTTCAGTAATTAAGCAATTTCTCGACGCATGCTTTGACTGGATTTCACTCGGTTTAGTGTGCATGCAGCAACATGAAAAATTGGGTTCTGACTCTCATAATGCTCTTTAATGTATCAAGGACGCAGACATGCGACTAAGTGCTGATAACGTATATTGTGAACAATGTGTAATGAATACGTGTGTTTGCGAGTGTGTTATTACTGTCATCAATCATCATATGTCAAATGCTGCAGCTTAGTCAGATCAGTTTGTAGTACCTGGTCATTAAAAAAAACGCATATATATGCACGCAAACACTGATGACCTAAGGCCCTTCAAATGCTACGTGCCTCTCACTATGTTGGTGACAGTGTGACATGCTGACATGTAAATTATTCTGCACAGTCTGCAACGCAGGTGGATGTGCAAGTCACTTCAGAAGCGTGAAGGATTTTCTATGATATTTGTTATTTGGGGTTTCATTGACAGGGCAGAGACGTAACTTTCCCCGCAGGCTCTTACGCGTCGGGAGAGTACGGCCATTTCAAGGGAAGATGAAATGTGCAGCTTCAAAAGGGTGTCTGTGATGCAGGAGGGGTCGAGGTGGCTTCACGTTGGCTGTGTACACTGCTTGTCACTTCTTGCTGCGATGGAAATGTTCGTTCCAACGAAGGTGCCACAAATTAACAAGCTGGGAGGCCACGATGCAAGATAAATTAAACAAATTCATCAGCAGCACTTGCCTTCATTTTTTTTCTCTTTCACATATCATCAGCGAGGTTTCAGGCAAAGGCCCTTTGTGATATCTGATTATATATTTATTTTTCCTTTTCCAAGGCAATGTTGTTGACACGTGTGTTGATGTTTGTTTGTTAATTGCAGTGTGACCGAAATTTGTATTCAAGAAATATGATGGTTTTTAATCAACACATTTACATACATGTTGTCTATGATATCGATTTCCAGCGTGGAATGTCCCAAAGGTAAATCGTTTCATACAGAAATCGCCCACTGCAGTATTACTTAACCCGTACAGAAAGATACGAGAAATATGTAGCATACAATAGCTCTTGATACCTATGACAAGTTTTTTCCATGTAAATTATCATGGTAATGTTCACTACGCTATATTTTCTTGGCCGATCATGCGAGAGTTTTGTCAATTGTAAATTATTGTCCAAAGGTCTCTTTTGCAAATTACGCTATCCTGGTCTCTTGGGGTCTCACCTCGCTAAACAAATACACTCGCATTATCACGTTCAACGTGTATAGCTTTCACAAATGTAAAAAAGCAAGATTAGTCAATGGGATTTTTAAGACTAAATGCAATCGGCCAATGTTATTCCATCAAACAAGTCAGGGAAGTCATTGAAATATATAAAAAGCATCTTGTATCTCATTGGAAAAGGCAATAATCAAGATGCTAATGTGCTTAATTTTTCAGGCTCCGCAGTGGCTCTGTATCATGTTGTTCAAAGGGTAATGCAAGGGGGCGCTTGTGGCTGATAACTTTTAAAAGTGTCATATGATTTATTTTTTAGTTCTTACTTTTTGTTGAGGCAAGTTAACCACTGCTGTTATTTTTTTAGGAAAACCGAATCTCTTTCAAATACAATTTTGCTCACTTTTAGATCAGGATCGAGCAACTTGGTCACCTGGTATATTGATCTCTGAATCGCTGACGCCTGCTCATTTTTGCTGCGTCCTTTGAATCGGCGAGACATGCAACATATTGCACTGTCAGGTGATTAACAGAGCGACTGATGTTCACGTGACCGAATAGTTCACGCGACAGGAATAGTGAGCTCGCCGGTGCAAGTTTATTGACCAGGACGCATGTCACCAATCTGCTGGCAGTGTCTCTTCGCGTGCGTCACTGCGACATTCTGCCGCTCGCACCAAAGGTCCAGGCCGAGCGTTTCTCACAGTGCGTTACCAGAGGGCATATTTATTTTCAGACTCAAGGGCATTACAAGCATTGTCCGTGACATTTTCTTTGGGATGAAAAAAAACTTTGATTCTGGGCTTTCAAAAACAAATACTGCACACTAGAGGTAGCCTCGGGACTTTTGTGTCTTAGTTAAAAGTCAATAGCAGTGCCCCACCTTGGAACCTGGTGGAGTTGAGAAGCAGACAAGAAAGCGGGCAAGATGAAAGATAGTTTGAGGTTATGTTAAACGTCCTTTTTATGATATTTAATAAAGATAGAAATGCCGTGCAGCCACCATGCTCTTTTGCTCCTCTCAGCTGTTTTTCTTTTTTGCTGGCGCTTAAACGATGCTCTGAGATTTGCATTCCATTGTGGGGATTTTATTTCAACGCCGTGTGACCGAAATACTTTAATCTCACAATTTTGTCCAAACTGCATATATGGTATTCTCACATATTGTGGCTTCCGTCACAGACGATGTTGCCAGATGTTTTCCACCATACATCGACATACTGTATATGCCAATGAGGTTTGGGCTTTAATCGTTGTCCTCCAGCTTGCTCAACCCAAACGCCTTCCTTGTGGCAAAAATCTCAACGACAGAAAAGAACGTAACAACTTTTCGTCAATTAAACTTACGAGGGAAAAACAGGCAAATGGAACTTCGGAGTGAACTCAAAGACGAGAAAGATTGACAACAAATATGACAGGGAAAGGGACCGATGCAAAATAAGCAAAATTTCATGCCCTTCTCCGGGGCACATTGATGCAATTTCAGTCGTGCCTGCAGGTCGCGTGCACGATGTGTCACAGAGATTGCAGGCGTATTCTCCACACTGCGCTCCTAGTCGCACGGTAAGGTGTGTCTGTGTGAACGTACACGCTCGCGCAACGCGCGCGCCCGTCTGTGTTTGTGATTTCAACAGAGACGTGGTTGGCTTTTGTCATAAATGAGCTCACTTTTTGGAAAAAATGTATTTCCTGCTGTCAAAAAAGACAAACGGCCTGTGCCCATTCACCGTACCGACATAAGGCACAACAAGAAAATACAGCGATATATATTTAATGCAAAAGCTGAGTGTTTTAGATATTAACTCTACAGCATTGTGGATGTAAAAATGTTCTCAAGCGAACACTTGCATGACAATGACAAATCCACGGCTCCAGGAGAATGGAGAAGACATCACGTGAAATATGTGGATATTGCGGCTGCCTACAAAACGCTTTAGGGTCGTGGGACATCCTGTAAGATCTACATTGTGAGTAGCACAGGATTTTCCCCCTCTAAAGAGCAATGCCTTCTGAAACATTTCCCGCACGTCCAGTTAGCACAGTTGGCTACGTGCGGTGTGAAAGAAGTTCAACATACCTACATACATAGATTGGCTGCCAACAGACACAAACAATCTAAGCCATGTTAAGATGTAGCAAGGAGCCCATCACAATAGTGAGGTGTGCCAATGTCACGGGCAATAGTGGCCTGCGATTATCTCATGAGTGCAAGCCAGAAATAGCGTGGGCCCTCATTAATATCCACGAAGGCACGTTCTGTGACGAGTGCAAGGGGCAGAGGAAAGAATAGATGAGACACATAGTAGGCGGCAGATTATTGCTACACATCCGACAATACATACTTTGTCATCTATGTTGTAATGTTGTTGGCGAACACTGAAAACTATAAACTATTTTTTTTATTTGACCAGGTAAAGCCAATTGAGCTGTATAGCTATTTTTCAGAAGCGACCTGCCACAAATAATAGCTCAACGAAGTGGGTTATGACGTGGAAATGTATAGCAGCCAAACACTCTAAACGCATGGTGATTCTAAACGTGGAAGGTAAACCCGGAGGACCTGGAGAAAAATACACACGACCATGGGGAGAACCTGCAAACTCTAAATATACAGCAGCAGGCA